AACTTAGGCGAAGGCTCCTTTATGGTCAGTGTTATTTGATTACACTGACACATATTCATCAAACACCAGAAATATCATAATAGTAATATCATTCCGACTTTACCTCAGACCCTCACTGGCAGTATGCCCAACGCCACTGGACTGACCGCAGTCAGCGGCGCATTTATCAAGATTTCGGAGAGGAATAATTTCTTGGGGAGGTGCATTAGAGGGTTGTACTTTCCAGTGAACCAGCCAAGGTCAACGGTTTTCCTCGATCGACACACTGAGGCGTTGTGATTTGCCTTCAAAGAAAGACGACATAGTCCATGCTCGTCGACAATGTCGGCTTCGTTTTCCACTACCAGCGCTTTGTAAGCATTGCTCTGACGCAAATAGTGATTATTCTCCCAAAGAATACAAGAAATATTTCGCGGACGGTTCACTGACGTAAATGTTGACATCAAACGGGGACGACGCTGATAGGACTGGGTAAACTTCGGAGAACTCTCGACATTCATTGTTTATCTGGAGTACAAGGAGTACATTTCCCTCGCAACAGAAACTTCAATTTGCTCTCGGACCAACTGATATATGTACATATATGTATGTGTATGCGTTTATATTCCTAAAAAATGGGTTCTCTAGAGTCGCGCAAGATAACCAAAGCTTTCTTAAGACGTTCGGATAATCGTCTTACTACGGCGCGATATTAGACGATGCATTTAAATTGGCTCTGTAGTTTAACTGCGTCAGGGTGATGAGACAGGCTTTAAAATCTTCAGGCAATCTACTGAGCTACTGCACGTCGTCAGTATTCAATGGCAGGGGAGTCGACAATTCGTTTGAAATAACACCGGGTGATCATATACGGTGTGTCTAACCGAACTTCAGAATTTTCAAAGCATTCGGTATGCCTTCCTCTGGCGGCAATATTATGCAACTTTAATGGCTGCTTTCGCTTCGCTGATGCAATAATGTAGCAACTAAGACAGTTGCGTTTCGGGGTCGTCAACAGTCCTCACCACACTGAACTGATGGCTACGGATAAATGACCATTGTTCCTCTAAGTCACTGTCAAAATGCCTAATCTCCCTTTTGGTGATGATGTGACGTTTCATATGGGTGACTTACCTTTCGGAAAAATTTTTAGATGACCCTTTTTCGTAGACAAATTCTTCGGGTGGGATGGGACTACGGCAACAGCTACGAGACGGCAAATTACATAACCACTGACCTACACCAGACGAGCGATGGACTGGTGTCGAGATATTAGAGGCTTGATAATGATCAATAGCAGCGGGTTCGGTTGGTCCCGATTTATTATGTCCACCAGATTCACAAACAACACGATTTACACCGTCCAGCTTAACATGCTCAGACGTGAATGTGAGCATGATTCATTGCAAGAGTGGAGTCAGTCTAAGGCCTCAATAATCCAATGGGTTAATTCCATTCAGGCCGAGGTTCTCTCAAATAAAACCGATTCCTTTGGATCAAATGCGATTGCTTACGTATATCAGACATTCAAATGCACACTTGACAAGATACTTAACAATGGTAATAATGGTGAAAGAAGTAACAGTATTTCACCTGAATAGTAAGATCATATTCGAATCTATTCAATACCTAACAGAAATCATATTCTTCTCTGCCATTCCCTGGCTGATTAGTATATTCAATCCACAATTCCAACAACAAAAACAATCTATTACCTGCGGCTTCTCCCTTCGCTACTCAGCTTCATCGCATAGGTTTTTATCTTTATTGTATTATTGCCCAACCCCTCGTATCTTTTCAGATACCGGTTACATCTGTGCGATCATTTATAGTTTGGTGCATGAGATAGGTGTTGATAAGAATGAATTACAGTTATCCATGATCCCACAAGCGATGATTACTCTGAACTGTGTGTTCTATGGGGTATTCAGCAGAGGTCGGCCAAAAGATCTACCCACGGTTGTCTTAATACTAAATGTCGAATAAGAGAAACGTTTCAGTGGCACCGCGGATGCCACCTAGCAATTTATTTCCCGTATGTGTTATCACGAAAGATTGTGTAAACGAGCTACCTATCATAAAGGTGGAAAGCAGTGACAATTTTTCTACTCTCAACTGAGCTGGATGGTTATGTAGACATTTCACATTATTATTCAATTTTTCTGTATTCACGGGCGTCTTCCGGATTATATTCACTCCGCTCTGAAAATACTGCATCTTTCACAGATAAACTTGCCGGTTTTTATTTTTGAGGATTAAGACATTTGACTTGTTCGCAAGGTTACCGAAAACTCAAATTTGATGCGTTCAGTCGAACTAAATCTGCTTTTGTCATCTTTCGTTTGGTCAATCTTGCAGTTATTAATAAATGTGAGATGTTTTTAACGAATAACGAAAGGTCTAAGCAGAGCAGTCGGCTTTCCGCTCCAGAAACACAAACGATTCAGGAAGTGTGTGAATTCACCTGTGAGTTGTGATCACCCACTGCCATCTGACACAGTTTAATCAAATACCAGGGTAAGTCAATGGCAGCTGAATTTTTGTCTCAGTAATATGTTTCCAGCCTAGTGAATCGTCGGGTATGGCACGAACAGATCATTAGGTGTGTTTTATCAGTTATATTCATTCTTTTCTACGATTTCTCATATCGTGTCCACTTCAAAAATGTTACCTGGCTCTGCCCTATCCATTTATTTGGATCCGATAGTTTGTTGTCCACTGAACCTTTCGTACACACGTTCATTCACTATCAGCTTAAGCGAATAAAGCTTGGTATGGCTGATGACAGATAGGCATACACAATACGTACCTTGGTCAGCGAAGCACACTAATCTGAATTCGATGAGCCAGCAGGTTTATCCCTGATAAACACCCAAACACATGACGGCTGACCTCCAAAATACTCGTTCGCTCGATCCCGCTGAGACTAAGCTACGTGTATACCGAAATCGAAATACGCCTACTTAGTTAGTTGTAGTCCCTCACCCGATCTGAGGTGAGTATAGCGTACTCAGTAAATTAGAGTACTTCTGGGGCATTCCTTTTCAAAGGAGAAAACCTATGTTAACTTCGCGATAAACGTGGTCGAAGGCTCCTTTAAGGTCAGTGCTATTTGATTACAATCAAAAATACTTATCAAATACCAGCAACGATGAACTCACTGTATAATGAAGAGAAGAGGGAATGTTTTTGAGTCATTTCTTCCTAGATATGTTCAACATTGACAATAGTACGAGGCTTTTGGACATGAGATTATAGGGATTGATGAAATCAACTTCAATCTACATTGTTCGAGAAATGTTGGGTGCTCACCAAGAAGTCAACGGTGTCAAATACCAGTTCAAAAAGAAGGAATCTGTACATCATGGGTTTTATCAATCCTGATAAGGTTCTCGAACTGTATTCTAAAAAAAGGATCCAACAACTCTGAATTGTGTCTATTGCGGTTGCAAAGCTCTTTGATCAGCGTTGGGTCCGATTGAAATGATATGGAGCATTACGAAAAGTTACATCAAAACGCACTTCCGACATCAACATGCCAAAATGATGATGGGTGAGAATGGCTTGTGTGGAAAGCATTGCTGGTGATGCCAAGTCTCAAATCACGAAGGATCATTGTCAGCATGCATCTAATCATGTTTGTGTTCATTATCCGACAATCATAAAGATGCCTGATTTATAATAGATTTGACAGATAGTTCTTTGTTTTAACAACTGAACGGTTTGTGAACGGGAGATATAAGGCCGAACATTCTACCACTGTTGAAGTCAATATGCCAAGTATTTGAGAAATTTTGCTTAATATTCAGTACATTTACAATGACAGTAGGCTAGTTTTACGTGTGACGTTTCTGGATAATTTCATACAGAGGCAGTCCCTCGGGATGTCCTCCAGGGCACGTGCTGATTATAGGTGAATCCAGGCAGGCAGTTGCAGTGCTTGGGAAAATTTAGCCACCATACAAAACCCGGAGAATGGGTTGGGCAGATCAACATTTTGCATTACTGAGGGCTTAGACCGACTCCACTCATGTAATGAATCACGCTCACATTCACGTTTGGGCATGGTGACCGAATTTATCGATCCATCGCTTCTTTACCCGACCGACAGAGGTCAATTGTATCTATGACGCACACTCGATCAACGATCACAAACATAACGTTCCCGGGTGGAATGGGTGTGTGAGGGGCGGGGGAGAACGACCCACCTCACACACACAAATCATTCATCGTAGCTCGGTAACTCACTCGAAAGTACTTTTGTTTGTTTACGGAGAATTTAGTTCATTCGGACTGGACGGGGTTTAGACAGACTCTGTCTAATCGGTGACATTTTATGGCTGAAACACCAATAATCTTCTGGGGTTCCCAGTGGACTGCGATTGGTTGGATTCACTTGAAGTTACAATGGATTCAATTGAAGTTGCAACGGATTCGCTTGAAGTTAAAAAGGTATGGAATTTACAATGATTATTGATCAGATCCGGAAGGCTGAGAATTTTTTTCTTTTTATGCAATCGTGAAGTGCATACTTACTTTCACTGAACCGAACGGTTGTTTGGCACCTCGGAGCAAACAAGCTTACAATGAACTTGTTTATAATTGCCAACTTGTGTTTTTACTGATGTCGTTTTGGAAGACCTAACATAACTGTAACTACGCATACACTGTTAAATCAAGTTTTCCCTATAGTTTCGCTTGGATTGCATCGTCGTTTTGTGTAAATGTTCCTCTTAATTTCAATTTTTGACCTGAAATTATGTAACTCTCATTAGTTGATGAGGAATATGAGCTTTCAACAACATTTACTTCGCCCTAGGTATCATCTTGTGATTTTACAATGCTGTTCAGGATTTACTTTTGAATTGGAAGTGTGATATAAATTATACATGTGTGCGAAGGAAATCTGAATTCGTATTCACGTCATATTTACTTCGGTGAATAGGAAAGTTAAAAGAAATGTTTGCTCAATTATCAATTTTTAAATTCGGTTATTTCTCCTCCTCAAATTTGCATTTCAGATCGCGATAAATGTGACCTGAATTTTTTGGATACGTCATTTCATCCACCCAGATCACTTACAGCAGAGTTATGTTTGGTGCTTGGTGCAAAAGGATACGAGGCCATCAAATTGCTTCGTCAATATGGTGCACCAGATGAGTCTTCCTATTTCGGTAAGTTGGTGATTGTATCGAATTCAGAAAAAAATCAGCCTGAACTCTTCTTACTATGGTATTTTAAGTAATTATTTGGAATGAAAATTGTTGTTTACGGCGACACCTTTAAAATTCACCTTGATGGACGCTTTTTACGCAGTCAGGTCACTGCTACCTCGTAGTCCATCGCCAGTTAGCCCTGCACGTATGTTGCCAATAATATGAGATGTTGTGATAGAGAATCACTGTCCGTCACATACTACAGACACTTTCACCTAAAATCTCTCGAAATCTAATTCGTTGAACTTCTGTAACTAGGTGAAGTAGTTCGACACAAAAATGTATCAGAAAATATCATTCATTGAGGAGAAAGCAAGAAATTGAATGAAGGGTTGTTCTACCTCAAAACGTAACATTGGTTCCCTGCTATGAAGCCTAAGATTTGGTCTGATGTGATTCAGATGCCAGAACTTTATCAACTTGGTGTTAAATCACTTGTATTAAATCACTTCACTCCCTTCGAAACTCTGCTCCTAACCATAATGGAATTCACATTGCCAAATTGCTTACCAGGCAACCTTTTAGCTAATAATCCGAATCTTTGATTTATATATCATTGGCTATCCAGTGAATCGAATAGGTTATCCTATACCTCGAAATCTTACCACAGTTAAGATAACCTTACTCATACAACTCAAAATCTTAACTTGAACAAGCGAAAGCCGTACAGAACGAATTTTCGTAGACTGAGACAGACAATGGTTTGCGAGACTGATCTTTGGATGAAAGCGTGATATGATATACCGATACTATGCTGCAATCCGATTTAGTTTTTGACTCTTCGATGCGATATGTGCTGCCCACAAGAAATCTTATACATTTGTGTGGATCGCAGGGTTTGCCCCTTCCTTAAACAGCTACGTCACAATATACACGGATCGAAAGTTAACAACCCAGTAAGCGTTTACCATTTGAGCGGAAACAGTGCTTTAACATCAATATGCTTCTAGAAAAGATGGAACTCAACCTGAAGAACATGTTTGTGGGGAAATTTTCCTCGGTACTTCTAACTTTCTGATCGAACAAATAGGTGTCTTTATTGAAGTACGCTGATTAAAGCCTGAGAGCGCGGGGCTTTCGAATTTCGGCCGGGCTACATTTTTGTGCTCCAGTGAACAGTTTATCAACATTTACGTCACACATTGGATTTAATCGTTTGAATCAAGTTTTCAATCATCGCTTTCATGAAAACGTACTCCCCGGAACCGTTAAAGAATTTGCAACATTACGTGTTATCGCGCAAGAGTGGCATTCTCTATCAGTTTAGTCGTCAATTTAAAAATAAATACAAAAGATGCAGACTGTCTAGATCAGGTTTCTCCAGAAAACACCGAGCAGGCCGGCAAGTGGCCTTATGTAACACAAAACCTCAGAAAATGTCTATCTCTGCCATTTGTTCATCAAACATGCGATCACTATTTGGCAAAATGAGTGACTTCACGTAACAGATAAGGACGAAAAAATACCATGCATTGGGGATAGTTATGCTTCAAGAAACGTGGTTGCATCCTGGCATCAACGACACTTTGGTTGAGCTGGATTTATTTGATATGTATTAGTTGGATAGAGACTGTTTACTACGAAATCGAGGTGGTGGTCTAATAACCTACACCAAATCGTCTTGGTGTAAGTCTACAACGATTATCTTCACTTACAAGGTAGGATATATCTCATGTCTTTCGGTTGAATGTAAACCGCGTTTCCTTAGTAAATATCGTTCTATTATGACATCAAGCATTTACATAGCACCTTCCTGTACAACTTCTGATGTACGGACGTTTGCTGGTGTAATTAAATGCGAACTTTCTAACTACACGGAACACTCTCTTTTTATTGTTAGCGGCGATTTTAATCATGCAGATATTCATTTGTTGACATGTCTCTCTCCACAATATTGTAACTTTCTCCACAAGAGGAAACGCGCAGCTTGATCTTACATTTTCGAACGATCCTGACCTGTTTGCTGTGCGAAGAGGAGCCCCTCTGGCAAACTCCGATCATTGTATCAGCAATGTTTTACCAAAAGTCTATTTATTCAAAGAAACACCATAGCACGATGACACGTACATCTAGCCGGAAGATTTTTCATAGTCCGTGACCCGGTCCACTTGGCATCACAGAGAGAAATGGTCTCTGGTACAAATTTCGATCAGTTCTTTGGTCCAAGTGTCTCGATCGAGTGTCAACACCTCACGAGCTATTCGAACTTCTGCTTTGACATATGCTGCCCCATAGCCCCTTTTATACATCAGTCCCGCCAGATTTTCTTCTCCCACTTTGAAGAGCCTCAGAAGAAGGGCATATAAAAATCGTGATCGACCTTTAGTTGAACAAATGTCAGTGCTGATCAAGAATGAGATCCAAAAGCTTGACAAACTCTACACTGAAACCCTTCTCGGTGACTGTAATTGCAAGCAAATCTGGAGCGCTATGAAAAAACTTTGTCGAACAAAAGTCAGACTACGCGGGCCCCAACTCACGGCAGATGAACTCAACTGCATGTTTCCACGTCAACTGAAACTGAAGTATCGCATCCTTATTTTCAATCGTGAAGTTTCACATGTCAATTCTAATCAGGTATGTGCACAGCTGAAGTGCCTAAAAAAATCAAAAACTTCCGGTCTTGACGGATTATGTCCAGTCATCCTCAGGGAATGTGCGCATTATCTGGCGGAGCCACTTGCCGGTATTTTCAACCGCTGCTTCGAGGAACAAAAATTTGTTGATTGCTGGAGACTTGTGCGCATTACACCAGTCCCCAAAAAGAAAGCTGGAAACTACGACCAATCGCCGGGACTTCTATTTTACTGTACATTTTTGAAAAGTTTATGCTCAGTAACATTATTTTCAATACTAGGCAGCTAGATGAAAACCAATTCGCTTATCGCAAACAACGTTCTACCTTAGATGCTCTGGCTCATTTGGTAAACTCCATTTTACGATCCCTAGACATGCACGGCAGGGCATTTCGTGTGTTTCTTCGACTATAGTAACGCTTTTAACTGTGTTGACAGGAGTAGACTTTTCTCTCTACTTCAAGGTGCTGTATTGTCCAATAATACCCTCTCTCTACTCCAAAATTATTTTTCTGGTAGAACACAATTCACAAAGTTTCTTGGAAAAACCTCGGACCCCCTACCAGTCAACTCAGGGGTGCTCCAGGGAGCAATTTTGTCCCCCTTTCTTTTCTCTTTCTACATTCGTGACCTTCCTACTAACCCAAATGATCCTCTTATTAATTATGCTGATGATGTCACAATTGGTTCCATATTCCAAGGTGATTTCCGCTTCTCACATCTTCAAACCAGTTTATCTGCTCTGAACTTATTGTCTTCATCTTCCAAGTTACCGCTCAATGTATCTACATGTAGCTATGTCACCTCTTCGCTAGCCAAAGGAGGACGGCTACATTCTCTTGAAAGAAATTGTTCTGCACTCCATGTTGACAACCAGCCTGTTCCCCCAGTAAACTCTCTACAATACTTCGGTGTCACTTTCTGCCGAGATCTCACCTGTGTTTCTTTATTACCCGCTTGCGTTCTTTGAAAGTTCCACTGTATTCACTAACCCGATTTCTATATTCTTGTTACTCATCTTCTCTGCTGCTCCCCAGTTTTATTTGCCGGTCTTAGAGCTAAAGATTACACGATTTTACACCGGTCTATTCAAATTATTTCTCGCACAATCGGTGTTCTTTATTTGCACTTACTTAACTTTATCGCCGATGGACATTTTACCTCTTGCGATAACTTCTGTAATAATATTATACCAGACACCACTCACCCATTACACAC